CGTGTGCTTCCCGCGGCTAGAGCGTGAAGAGCGGAAGCGGTGATGACGTGATTCCGGTGGACTCGGGTTGTGTGAGTTTGAAGGTGGAGAAAGTGATGTGGATGCCTATTGTTCTTGTTCTTGTTGTTGGAGTCATGATGTGAGGTTGAGTTTCTATATATATTCAACGGTCACGATGGAGTTTGTGATTGTTTTTTTGTGCATACTTTTGGGTTTTGACTTGTTTACTTGCAGCATTCGGTGTAATGCATGTGTGCTTTTCTTTTTTTATTAAACTGTAATGTAATTTTGTTTCTTAATTCAAAGACAGGAATAATTATCCTTGTTTTTTCGCTAAAATTTGTTGCTTGGATTCATTCGTCAAGTTTCGAGCAGGTTTATCAAAATTTATAAAAATGAATATTTCGCCCTATTTAGTAGGGGTGAGCAACGGGGGTGGGTTTGGTCGGGTTCAGGTGAAAAATATCCAACCCATTGTAAACCGACTTTGAAAAAATGTGACCCATATCCGACCGACTGAGCTTTCGATTTGAGGCGGTTCGGGTTGAAACGGATTCGGATTTAAGCGGGTGGGTATAATCGGGTTTGAATTTTTTTGTAAACCAATTTATCTTAAGGAAGATGAAGCTTAAAACGATAAAAAATATTTTTAAAATAGTGTATAAAAATAGAATGAAGGTGACAATAGATGGTGTAAGTAGATTCGTAGTTGAAACATTTACAAACTAAAGAAGCAAAAATAAAAGATAACAAAATTCATAGTTGTTACATGGAAAAGAAATATAAAGTAAGATTACAAAATCATAAGAAATCACAGTCACACAAAATGTACTCAAAATGGAGATAAGAAGATGGAAAAGAAAGACAAAGAAAGAAGCAAAAAGATAACTCTAAAAATGGACTAGTGTGTTGAGAAGTTGAATGAAGAAGGAGAAGACAAAATAAATATCTAAGTTATGAGAAAAAGGAAAAAAATAAGTTACAAATTGATGGCTATATTATACTTGAAATAAAGACTTTTAAGTTTAGACCATTGTTGTTTAGTTATACAAAAGTAATAAAAATTTAAACTTATCTCATTTTCGGTTGGGTTCGGTTTTTGGCGGGTTTAAAAATTCAAAACCGAACCCGCCCAATATAACCCGTATAAAATCAAAATTTTAACCCGATTTACCCATAAGACCCGCCCGAACCCACCCAAAAACAATATTTTTTATCGGGTTTTTCGGGTTCGGTTTGGGTGTCGGTTTAATGCTCACCCCTACTATTTAGCAATAAAAAAAAACTTAAATATGTTTTTGTCCCTTAAATTTAATGTAAATTTAGTTTTGATCCCTCAAATTTAAAACTGTTATTTTTAGTCCTGTAATTTTCAAAAATATTATTTTAGTCTTTTAGATCACCAATAACATATTTGAAAGTAACTAATTACAACAGCTATGCGATATTAACCAGATTTAATGAGATATTTTTACTAATAAGAATATCGATAGATAGATTTTATGTAATAATGTTTGATAAATTTTTTAACAAAATTTGAATATAAGGACTAAAATAAGATTTTTTGAAACTATAAGGACTAAAAATAATAATTTTAAATTTGAGGGACCAAAAATAAATTTATCTTAAATTTGAAGGACTAAAAACATATTTAAGCTTAAAAAAAATTATATAGTTTTTATTTTTGAATTAATTTTAATGAATAAGAAAGTGTATCAAGGAAAATGCATAGAAGCGATTGCAGTACGGTTTTATTTTTTTGCCATAAAAATATCCTAATCAAATTATAAAAATAAAAATAAAAAGTACCGTACAATATGAATGAATTATAAAATTTGAACTAAATCAATCTTTTATGATTTGTTTATATATTTTTTAAAAATATATAATATTATATTATTTGTTTAAAATTATATTTATTAAAACAAAATTAAAAATATGTAAATATTAAAATATTTTAATCATTTAATATATTTAGTATTAATTTTTATTTTATTATAGTTATTTTTAAATATTATAAATAAATCATAATTTTTTATTTTAAAATTTAGTTTAATAGGTTACAATTTAACAAAATACATTTTAAATATTATAATATATATTTAAAGAGAATTTTTTTTTTAATAATTTAAAATTTTATAAAATACTATGTTAATTTTGTATTCATTTGATTTGGTTTGAAACGATTTCAAATTCTAATCCAAATATCAAACAAAACTATATGATTTTAAAATTTTAAAAATTAAACCAAATCGTGAGTTTCTGATTTTCTATCGATTTTAAATTTTTTTTAATCAGTTTATAATTTTTTTATTCGAATTGGTTAGATTTTAAACATTTCTAACTAACAATGTCTCAAGAATACTAGTAAAAGAATGAATACGTATAATATTTTTTATTAAACACTGCATTGAAATTACAGGTACACGGTTGTTAATTAGACTTTTCGACCGTAAGTTCTTAACACTAGCATTTTCGATTTTCCACAGCAGTACTACTACTAGACCTACACCAGAACCGTTTGGGTATTATTTTTTTAATGTTGTTAGAATAGTGGATTAAGCCTAACTCAACCCTACAAAACCGGCTTGTAAGGTAAGGGTTGCTTTCCACTTATATATTATTCAATTGCCTAATCTCTAGTCGATGTGGGACTTGGGTTTTTCCCAATAAATGTGGTTTTAAAAAAGTTATCAAAATTTAATGGAATACTCAGAAATGTGGTTTTAAAATTTGACAAATAAAATTTCACTTCACAAATTTAACAATCGGTTGTCATTTATTAATATCTGTTTTATTATAAATATAATATATAATAATGTGATATATATTTCTTGAACTTTAATAAATATTGAAAAACACATGCAAAGTAGTGTTTTTAAGTACCGATGGCCGTCAATTTATCATCTTCCATGGGCTAGTAGCAAAGAATTTCTCCTCGCCAAGAATAAAGACAGCTGTATTAAAACTTAGAAAAAGACATCTCACAACTGGTAGCAACTTGTGAAAACCACTAACTATTTACAAAGATTATTATTTTTGGTTTAACTTTACATTTAGTTAACTAAGACTTCAATCTATGTGTGGTTTTAATCTTTTTATTCTAATTGTTCATATTTAGTTCTCTTAATTTCTCCTTATTAAATCAACCTCTTATTCCAAATTCATTTAAAATTATAGGGAACATAAAATGACATTGATTTATATAAATCGACAGTGGAATATATAAAATGATTAAATATAAATTATGAAAAAACGAAATGCTTGTTATATTTCATACGTTATATTTTTTTATTTATATTCACACATGCATTTTACCCATTTTTTCTTTCTTTTTACTAACCTATATGAAGCAATGTTTTGTCAGACTTTTGTTATATAAGGTTTTTTTTTTTTTTCCTCAGAGAATGACCCTGAGGCCAAATTTTGTTACAAGTTTAATTAATGAGAGCATGTAAGTGTAAAAAAGTTTACGTGAACTAGCTCCTTGTGAATGTTATTTAGTTGGCCCTTTTTGTGAGCTATATATAAATTAATTAGAGCTATAGCAATGGTGTATATTTGAACATAACAACAAAAAAGAGACTTTAAATGTGTCTCCGCGAGATGATAAGGAAAAATCCTTGTTGGCAGGAACTTCTTGGGTTGATCCTATTTTACAGGTTCACGAGAGGAAAGTGTTCAATTATATTGTTGCTATTTATATTTTTTGTGGATAATAGGGATGACCGAATGATGATGCAAAATGTGGTATGTTTGATGGACTCTAATCCTTCAACCAGAAGATGATATCTCTGAGTGGATTGTAGGCAACTCAACATTTTAAATCCAAACTTAAGAGTTAAGTTTGTTAGTTTGTACTCCCTAACAAGGATGACTACATCTGAGGCTTTTAGTCCTCCACTAGTAAAATAAAATAAAATAAAAAGTTAATTTTTTTCACATGAGTTGTTTTCAACCCTCTAGATCAATTCTGCGTAGAACCAATTGATACAGAAAAATGATATACTTTCTAAATTGATTTTAGAGACTAATGTATAAAATGATATTCTATTCGGTTGTGAGACGATAACAAATATCATCAAAAGCCAACTTTCTACACATTGGTTGATGTGAGAATCGATATAGAATTTTTCTTTTTAAGAAAAACAATACAACTACATTGCATTTACAATATAAAATATTTCAATTCTAAAACTATAAATACAGAAGTAGAAACAAAATAAATATGAAAAATACTAGAATTATTATTGATGTTTTAGACTTTACTATTTGAGCTGACTTAGACAATTATTATTACATAAATAGTTAAGACTAGCTATCCAATTTAATTTTATGCTTTACTTTTCTTTTCTATTTATAAATTAAAACAGAAATTATAATAAAGAGAAATGTTGTGTGATTTTTAGTTGAAATATAGTGCTTGAAAGTGGACTGCGGGTTAAAAGTTGAAAATGAACAAAATTAACAAGTATCTATTTAGTCTACTCAATAAATATATATCAATATTAGGCGCATATTTAAATAATTATAAAAGAAGAAGAAAAATCCTGCCCCATTCTAATAGATTCTAGATTTGTCCCTGACTATACAATATTTAAAAAATAGATTTGATTAATTATTACTTTAAGTTTGTTCTTAAAATATTAAAGACAAAATTGGGAAGTAAAAATGAATTAATTAACAGACATATTAAAGTATGGATAAGCTGATGATTTCCAAGTATAAATTGGTTAGTATAAATAAGAAAACAGTTGTACACATTTCTTCGTTTAGTTTTTGAATCACTGGTGATGGTTTTATACATCCGATAATAATAATAATTAAGTGAGTGCGAAAAACAACAAAATTGAAATAGCTGGAAAGAAAGCATTTTGGCTCTCTATATAGTATTTTATTTTAGGGGGAAAGCAGTTCACGGCCTCCCAAAGGTTACTCAAAACAAATCATAATAGGTCATAGCCAAGGCGCTGTAGCTACCCAGTAAACTTGTATTTATCAACTTTAGAGCATCACCTAACTTAAAGAAAATAATTATTAGAATACTGCTCTTAAGTCTTAAACTTACTTTGGATTCACGTGTTCTTGATTTTTTACATTAAATGAAAAAAAAAAAAAAAAAGTGTGCAAACTATTCTCTTATAGTAGCTTTTAAATAATTTGACGCGCATCCAATGCTTCAAAAATTGAACTAAACACGCACCCACACTAACACTATCCCTTAACCAAGCTGTACTCCAATCAATAGATTATGTAAGTAGAAGAAGAATACTACTTAGTTGGTCTTGGTTATATATTCTTTAAAAAAAATATTTTTAATAATAATTATATATTAATAATAAAAAATAATTTATTAAACAAAATAATATGAATAAATGTAACTATATATATATATATATATATTTATGATTATTCCCTTAATTAAAATGAATATATAGGTGAAGAAAGCGGGTGACTAATTAAGATAATCAAGTGAGGCACTGAATGAACGCAATCAACGGACGTAAGCGGTACTGTTTCTACAACATTCATGGAGAAAATTAAAGCACTTTGTTTACGTGTTTCTACTTCCTTGTTTGCCCTATAATACATTACATTATAATGAACTAGGAGAAGCTATAACTTAAAGAGAAAAGCAATGAGATTGTAACTTAACAATATACAATAGAACAAGCAAATATAGAATAAAATGCAGAGAATATATATTGTCTCTTCCAAAACGCAATGGCCCCCACGTCCCTCACGGGATGTCTTTATGATATCGATATTTTTGGTCACGTGATTTCTCCCTGTTCACTCTGCATGCCTCCCAATCCGAGTCCACTCGCTCTAACTCGGTATCATTTTAGCTACATATCTTCCACTTCTAAATGCTTCTATTACCTATGTATTGTAATGTATCGTACAATACAACTTAATCCACCCCATTTCATCAATAATGTCCACGGAACTTGCTTTGCAGGTTCACCATTGGTCCCATCATCGATCCATCTCCAACACCCATGAAGTCTTTGGTTAAGTGCTGATCTTCAGTATTGGAAGAACTTGAATAGGGTAGCTGCTTCTCCATTATTTCTTCAATCCGCGGCATCACCATGTTCATGTTGTTGCTTGCGAGGGAATTCACCATGTGGTTTAAGTTCACACCCTCGTGTGCTTGCTTGAACAACATTTTCTGAATGTCAACCACATTATTACCTCGGTTGTTGTTCGGGTCCAACAAGCCAAAAACAGTGTTGGAGTTGTCGAACGCTGAACTACCATTACCACTCATCCTTGTAGATTCCATGTGACTGAATGGGAACAAAGAGCTCACGCTATGCGACAATTCCCCCTTGTTTTCTTCTTGCTCGAGCTTCATTACTCCTTGAGGTTGAGCCACAGAAACATTATTCGCACCATTAAAGGATGCTTCTGGGTATCGGTAATTCAACCACTGTGGTGTACCAAACATGTTATTTGTTTCAGGGAAGGTTGTTGTTGTTCCCGGTGAGAACACAGTACTCGAGTTGCTTCCAACGCTAAGAGCGTGAGGGTTGGCCTGGTCTAGCCATAGTGGAAGCTTCAGCTTATGCTCATGATGATGGGCCGCATCCGCCAAATTCCCCATGAATGCTTCTGGGCCTGGCCCACCAAATTCAGAATACTGCAATCCCTGAGCGTTCATCAAAATCTCGTTTGATAAAACCGCCGGAAGTGATGTCACTCTCGCCGCTTGTTCCGCCATGGCGTCACAAAACGCTCTATGCGTTACGAAACTGTCCTTCCTGCTTCATTAATCAATTCCTCAACATTGATTGTGTTGTGTTTAATTAATTCATGTCCCCGCATGCATAATTAAGTTCATATTAATTAACACAAACAATTAATTAAAGCATGGAAGTAGTATATAGTATATAGTATATAGTATTGTTACCTGGAGAATATTGTGCCACAGTCACATTTGTACTGTCTAGTACCGCAAATCTTGTTATGTGCCTTCCAGTCAGATTGAACAGCGTATTTCTTGGAGCACTTTTCGCAGCGCCACTTCTTCTCACCGTGCTTTCTGCTGAAGTGCTTTTTTATACCAGTGAGGTCTCCGAGGGCTCTGCAAGGGTCGTGGTGCACGCAACTCTTCTCCGGACACACGTACACCTTCTTCCTCACCTCTTCCTCCTTCGCTCTCTGCCGCAGCTTCCACGGCAAGTTGTGCCCTCGCCGATGCAGCTGCAGGTTCTGGTCTCTCTGAAAACCCTTGTTGCACACTTCGCAGATGAATCTGTTCGTCGCCATCAGTGACTTTGGCGACAGAGCAATCACTTCTGCATTCGGATCTGCCAAATAATACCCTCATCCTCATCGTTTCTTAATTCATTCAAATCAATTATATGTATATTTTGCGAATTAATAACGATAATATGAAGAAGAAGCTAGTTTGACTTGCCTGGTGTTCCGGGAAGGCTTCTTTTTCTCTTAGCTGATGAAGCTGAACTAGGGTTAGGATTAGGGTTTGAGTTTGGTTGGTGAAGTTGAACCGAGGAGGGTCTAAGGTTGGAAGGAACCGAAGCTGCTTGTTGAGACATCATGTTTGGGAGATTAATGGAGTGTCCTAAGACCTAACTAAACAAACTAGGTACCTAGCGAATTCCGAAAGTACTAATAAGTATGGAAGAGTGAAGAGAGGCACTGCGAAAACAAATTAAGTATGGAAGAAATTATTAAATAAATTTAGCGAATTGAGAGAAGAAAAAGTACATGGTGCATATATAGTATATATTACAGGAGAATTGAGATTGAGAATGGTTTCACGTACATGTGAATCGCGGTGACAGGAGAAATGGTTGAGTTTGGGTTGAATTGATGAAAGAGAGGAGAGAATGGTGTTTGTGGATCTCCTTATCAAGACGGCTGCTGTGGGTGTCAGTCAGCCATAGACTAAGGTGGACCACTTTCTCTGTCTCTCGCTTTCTTCATTCATACATACCAATAGGCAATACCTAGCGACTAATCAAACGTAACACTTTAATTCTACCAACTCAAATTTAATCACCTTCCCAAGCACTTCCTAGTTACTACTTTGACCCACCACGTCTATTCATTTCCACTTAAATTCATACTTTGTTTTTATAGATTAAAGGAATAATCTCAAGCACTTTCCAGTTAATCATCTCGCTTAAAAAAATTATATAACGAAACATATATTATTTATCATTAAAAATTATTTTTATCTATATTTTAAAAATAAATTATATTAACATTTTTTATATGTTATTTTTATTTTTATCAACTGTGTTTACTCAAACACTGATACCAACACGCGGAGTTTTAATTAAGGTTTTTTTTACAGTTACATGCAATTAAATTAAAAAAAATACATATATAGATGTGATTATTTTTTCCAAAGTTTAGGTTTAGTTAATCTAATTAATATATTAATATATATTATTAAAGTGAAAGTCTTAATCTGAAGACTAAAGTATAGTTTAAGATTTGGGCATAAAAGGATAATTATGGCATAATTGCATTATATTATTATAATGATAGTAGTAAGTATATAGTAATATATGAAATGTGAGGAGAGAGAGAAAGAGGGTGGCGGTGGTGATGGTGTCCGTGAGGCATAACATATACAACTGGTTAGGATTAGGAGTAAGATGGGAGCCCACAAAACAAAAGGATTGGATTGTGAGAGAGAGAAAGTTTGATGCTACACTAGATGACGGGTATCGGTTCTAGTGTCCAATACAATCACGATTACACCAGATTCCACAATTAATATTCCTTTTTATATTTCTCTCTTTCAAAAATTACTATTTCTTTTTTCCTTTATATTTCTACCTTAGATATTTTTACTTTTTACTTTTCATTTTCTTTATTGTATTTGCATCTCAATATTCGTACCTGTTACTTGAAAGTTGAAACGAGGTGGCCTAGCAACAGACGACAGTAATTGGCATAGTAACAATGACGAGAATATTTTAATTTCATCACAATGATAAAGGATAAAAGACTTTCAATTTTAATTTAACATTAGAAGATTAATGTTGTGTTTAGTTGAATGGTAAGAAATGAAGAGAAAAACAATAAAAAAATTAAAATTTTACCTATTTAGTAAGAGAGAAGTAAGAGAAAATAACTTATAATTAATTTATATTAATTAAATAAAAAATTAAATTAATAAAATTTACATATTAAATATTTTTATCAGTATAATTACATTTTCCATTTTTATGTTCAAAATATTTATTTTAAAAGTTAATAAATATTATTTATATATATAAAAGAATGAACTCACTTACTTTAGATTTGTCATGTGAAATATTTTTACTTTTCTAAAAATCTTAAATTTGAAATTAACCCTGATTTTTCATGTTTGGTAGCTATTTAAAAAATAGGAATATAATTTTCTAGAAACTATTTTTACCTCACTTTCCCACAAAAAAATCTTATGAGGAGTGAGAATCGAACTTTTTCAAGTTAGAAATAAAGTTTTATATACATAAACAGATTTTTAAAACAAAAAATATCTCTCTTTAAAAATAAAAAAAGGTCAAACCTTAAACAAAAATCTATAATAGTCTAATATGTTTAATATTTGACCTAGCGAATTTAATAAAAATATATTTATTTAAAAAAGATTGGGCTTAGGCTAATTTAAAAACTTGTTAGATCTAACAAGTTAGTCTATTTATTTAGCCTACACAAGAGAGTATGTGAATGTATATAAGTTGTTACTTTAATAGAAATTAACTTCATCTATTCTCTCTTTGTGACATTGTATATGTACGTGGTATCCTTAAGATCACTTCATGTACAATAAATATTTTTAGTTTGTAAATTATTATCATAATTATTTTGGTTTATTAAAACAAGAGTTGATTATTTAGAATATATCAAATTAGATTTATAAAATATTAAAATAAATTTTTATATGATATTCCTTTTTCATTATATATTTATAGGCTTACGACCTATATGTAAGTATATGTCGATATACATGATTGTGCATGAATTATCACTCTAACATAAAATGATTCATTTTTTCCTCTTTATGACACTGTATGTATTTCAAAATTTAAATTTAAATAATATTGAGTAAACTATATTTTATCATGCAAATTAAAAAATAACTCTCAGTGACGTATTTAAAACTAAATTTGATAATTTGAAAAAAAAATTAAGTTTATTATCCTAAATAACATTATTAATATAAAATAGAATTTTAAACAAGCTAATAGATTAAATCAGACTTTTAAAAGGTTGAGATAAACCTATAAAGAAATCTATGATAGGTAATATATCATATTTAAGCTTTAATTTTGTATAACAGGTCTAACCTAAATATTTAAAGTATAACCTAACTTATTCTCATCTTCATTTCTCTCTCTTTCTCTCCTTTTATTTTTCTTTCTCCATCTCTTTATGTCTCTCTCCCTCTCCCTCCCCCTTTCTCTCTCTCTCTCTCTCTCTCTCTCTCTCTCTTTGTCTCTTTCACTTTCACTCTCCCTCTCTTCCTTTCTCTCTCCCTCTCCCTCTTTCTATCCCCTTGTCTCTTTCCTTTTATCTTTCTCTCTCTCTCTCTGATCTTTGTCACTCTCACTCTCACTTTCATTCCCCTTCTCTTCCTCTCCCTCCTTCCCATATCTCTATTTCTCTCTCTTTTTTGTATCTCAGTATTTTTTGATCTTGTCAATTTTAATAATATTATTAAAGTACGTTTTGTTTCAATGATATTTGTTAACACTTATTTATTTATTTTTATTTGAATTAAATTAAACAATATATTTTGATCGTTCTTATTTATTATGTAACATTTTTATTTATTTATTTCTTTTGTTGAATGTTGTATTTAAATAATTTCAACTATAAGTTTTCAACTTTTTAAAATAGTTTAATGTCATACTTGTAATAAGATTTGAGTAAATAAATATATTTAATAAGATTATTTTACTAAAAAAAAAGTATTTATATACTAAAGAATATACTATTAAAACAAAACATGAAAATCTTTAATTCTCAAGAATCTCATATGAGTATTCAAAAGAAACTTTATGAATAATCAAACAAATTTTAGCTATTTACAGGAATTATGATTATAAAGATTTGTAAATTTCAAGAATCACGAGTTTTAAGTATAAAAAAACTTCTTTCCTACCAAATGTCCCCTAAAAACAAGTCTATTTATACTTACTCTACTTAATAAGTAATGTTTTATATTAAACTTTAACGATCTAACCATTAAAATAAAATTTTTTAATACATAAATCAAGTTTGCAAATTTTTACAAATATTTAAAAATTATTTGATACCTCGTTTTATTAATTTAAATTAACGAATAATCATAAAAATATTTTATATATTAATTTGAATTAATGAAATAAAGGATCAAATAATCTTAATTTTTTTAAATAAAATCCAGTTTGGATCTATATATTAAGAACTTTTGATCACTTACTTCAAGAGTAAGTATACTTAAACTTACTTCACTCAATAATTCATGTTTTATATAGAGTAAGTCTAAAAAATTTACAAATATTTGAAAACTATTTGATACTTTATTTTATTAATTCAAATTGACGGATAATCATAAAAATATTTTATACATCGATTTGAATTAATGAAACAAAATATCAAATAATTTTTAAAGTTTTTAAAACTTTATAAACTCAATATATGCATTAAGAACTTTTAATTTAACAATTAGATTATTAAAATTTAATATAAAATATGAGTTATTAGGTGAAGTAAGTCTAAGTAGACTTACTTTTAGAGTATATATATACATACACACACAAACATAATCAATTATATTTATATATCAATGTTTTTGAAAATTGAATTGGACTAAGTACTAATTCAAGATTCAATAATTCAATCATGATTAAATCATAATCAAATCAATATTAATAAAATAATAATAATTATTATAATCAATAAAAATTTAATATAATATTAGAATTTTATAACACTAAAAATTAATATAAGATATTATTTATAGATTTTTAACGTTTTATATATATGTACTAAACTATATATAATATAATATTTAATTATGAATTTTAATAAAATATAATAATATTTATTAATAAGAACAAATTTACATCTAAAATAATAAATATTAAATTAATATAATATACATTTTAAAAAATCGATTATGTCCCATGAATGCAAATGGAGTGCAGGAACAATTTTGTTATGGTCCACAATTTTCTTACTACCATTTTTTTATTACATCAAACACAACTCTTTTATCTTTCCTTTTATTCTTCCGCATATCCTTCCTGTTCTTTCTCTTTTCACCCAAAACAGTCCCACCAACCCGATCCTAAGAATTAGGGTGACAAATAAATCATATTTATGTGTAATACTTGAACTTATTTCGATTTAAATGAAAAATATTTAATTTAGTTGAATACAAACATATATATAAATAATATTTTTTATTAAATTAGGGACATAAATAAGAATTAATATACACTTATTTGTCATGTACCCGTATATTTATACTCGTTTTAAATTTTTAAAAACTTAATTGTTTTTTAAAAAAATTATTATTTTCAATTTTATTTTTTATTTAATTATTATTAAGGTGGAAAGTTCAAGATCTAAGGTCCATTTTGGAAATATTGATGTTTAGAATCTATCATTCTTATGTTACTCTTAATGAAACTTATCTTTACTTCCATATTCATTATTTTTAAAATCTTAATTACGAAATACTAAAACTTTTATGAAAGTCGTAAATGTATTTTTTTTTATGAAGTTTACATGATAATGAAAATTTTCATCTATGTTTAATTAGTTACTTACAAAGTACATTCAATATTTATATACTTTAAATTGTATTTCAAGGTATTTAACACTTTACCTTGCATCATATTTTAAATTATTTTCTACCGCTGAACCACACACTTGAGGTTAGAATCTTATGTTTTAAACATATATATATACTAGTGGTTATGAATATCAAAAATTACTTTTCGGAATGATATATAAATTATGGAAAGAACGTTTCCACAA